AGCTGTAGCAGTAGTAGTCGTAGCACAAGTCGTAGCAGTAGTTCGAAGTAGTAGTCGTAGTTTTCGTAGCGTTGACCTCAAAAGTTGGCCCTCCTGCAGCCCTCGAAAGTTGGCCCTTCTAGGGCTTATTTGGGCGCCAAGAAAAGTCAATAAGGGCTTCAGGAGGGCTCCAAGAAGGCCCCAAGAGGGCCTTAAGAGTGGTCCAAAGAGACCTCAAGAAGGCCCCCAAAGCTCCCCCTTCCCCTAAGGATTTGTTTTCAAGATTCCCATGGATTCGCAAATATTCCGAAGGATTCCTAACGGAATCCGGAGGAGTCCTGATCCTAAGGGTCCTAAGGGATCCCAAGGACCCTAAGGAATCCTACGGATCCTAAGGAACCCTCAGGAATCCTACGGAATCGAAGTACTCCTGAAGAAGAAAGAAGTACTTCTGAAGAAGGAAGAAGTACTTCTGAAGATCCCATGGTTGTAACTGGTCCCATTTATGGTTGCAATTCGCTCCGAACGGTTGGGATTGGGACCAGTCGGTTGTAATTCGTCCCATTTCGGGGGGAGGGGCGGGGGGAGGAGGAGGGAGGGGGGTTTAGGGAGAGAGGGAGGAGGGGGAGGGGAGAGAGGCAGGCCGGAGAAACGCGAGGAGCCACAACCACAGATGGCCCTCCTCCTCCTCCTCCTCCTCCGCCTCCTCGCGATCCGTCTGGTCCCTATGGGCCGCCAGGCAAAGCAGAAAACCGAAACCCCGACACAAACTGAATCCATAGTTTCTCTGAACTTGTCTCCCTTATCCGTTGCGCTTCTGCACTTGCGCGTTGTCACCATGCCCGCATCCGTTTTGGGGCGGCATCGCCAGACATTGCCCCTGACTTCCGAGTGGGCTGCGAAGGCGCGCAGGTGAGGCGACGGCCCATGCGCGCGAATCCGAGGTCCAGGCAGACCTCGGCCACTGCCGTCGTCTCCGCCTGCATCCTCTGGTGCGCCCAGGCGCAGGTGCGTTCAATCGCGAAGAGCAGCCCGTCCTGGGCGGGTGCCATGAGCGCTCCTCACGTATAGCTCTATGGATGGAGGTTGGCGTTGTCTGCGAGTCGCGTCTTGGAATAGCGTTGCTCGAACAGCGTCGAGAGGTCAGGTTACTCTTCTCCTCCCTCTCCTCGCTGCAGGTGAATGGGCCCGGATGTCTCCAATCGGGGAGAGAGTCTTCCCTCCTTCCTCCCCTTATTCCCGAGACTGGTAAGGGGCCTCTGCGGGGGGGGGTCGCGGCCCCCGCAAACTGGCGCCTCTCGCCGCGGAGCACAAAGAGACGCGCTCGAGGCGGCCAGGGACCAGCCCTCCTCGATAAGGGCAGCCCATGTTGGGCGGGGCCGGCGCGCCCCTAATCGCGAAGAGCAGCCCATGTGCGCGGGGCACACGAATCGCGAAGAGCAGCCCATTTTGGGCGGGGTGGCATCAAGCTTCCATGTTGTCTCGCGTCGGGGGGGGAGGGGGGCGCCGTGCTTTCGGCGCTCCAGCCCCCGCCCGGGGCAGCTGGGCCCGGAGGGCCCCAGCGGTCGAGCTCGCATCGTTCACGCTGTTCCCGCTAGTCGATCCGCGCTTGCGCCCATCGGGTCGAATGGGAAGAGTTCCGCCCCCCCGCAGGTGCACGTCGACACGTTCCTTCTCTCGTGCATCCTCGCAGTCCTGCTTTCTTCCTCGGTCCTTTTCGCCGGGCGCGCAGCGTGCCCTTTTCCTGCTAGTGGCGCCCGTCCACAGTCCGTCCCGCAGGTGTGCGTCGCGGCGCCTCTCTGCGACCGCCTCTCTTCGAATGTTCTCGCAACGATGTCGCTTCTTCCTTTCGCCCCAGGTCACGTCGGCGCTCCGCCTTCAGGCGCCCCCCTGGGCAGTTCAGTCTCGCGGGCGCCCGTCGTCGAGCTCGCATCTTTTGTCTACTTCAGCCGAGGGCCCCTTGAGTCTCGAGGGGAGGGCGCCGGGGGCGGCGCGGGCCTGGCCAGCGGCGGCGCCCGCGCCTCCCTGCCTCTCACCTTGCTGCGCGCTGCCCAGAAGGGGCGCGCGTTTGGGGGACGCCCCGACTTGCAGCGCGGGCTCTGTCCCCCAGGGATGGGGCGTAGCAGACTGGCCCTATATGGCGCGCCCATCCCTCTTACATGGGCCGTCTTGGGGGGGGCCTTTTTCGGCCGTCTGGACCGCTGGTGAGTCCAGCGCGGCGACCGTGCCACGAATAAACATTTTCTTGCATGAATGAAATGGTTTCTGCTTACTCGGAGTTCGTCGGCGGTCCTCGGGGGCGTTCTTCGGCCGTCTCGCAGACCTCGCTGGCCGCGTTGAAACCGTCCTGGGCCGCCGCGGTGCTGCCCATGGCCGCCCCCCGACGCTCTCTGGGAGATTGTCTTGGCGCTCGGTTTGGGCTTCCTGGGGCCGCGTTGGGGCTCGTTGGAGGCCGCGGAGGCCCCGGGGGCGCGTCGGCGAGTTTCCGCCCCCCCCCCCCGCACGGGACTTTGGACCCCCAGGGAAGGGTCAATGGGGAGTGGGACAGCCACGTGTCTGATACGACTCTGCGCCCCTGGAAGACGGGGATGGCGGGATTTGCTTGCGACCGCTCGAACGATTCGTTATTTTTCGCCTTTGAAGTCCCAGCCGCGATAGAAGGTTGCCAGGACGCAACAGTCACGATGATTCGCCGCGTTGAAGACCCAGGAGCTGCGATCCGGCAAGATTTTGTCAGTACACGACAATCACGTTGATTTTTGGCGCTTGGGCCCCAGGGGTGGTGTTTTGGCACGATGTAGGATTCTCCGGCGTTTATCCTCCAACGGGGCTCCTCCCGAAATCGACATAAGTGCTTGTGGGGACCTGTGAGGAGGGAGCTTGGAGGGAGGGTTTGTTGCAACATCGAGGATGCGTCTTGGGTTTATGCCGGTCCGCCTCCGCTTCCTCCTCCACCCTAGTCCTCCCTCTCCCCCTCCTCCTCGTGCGCGCATGCATGTGGTGTGTGTGTGTGTGTGCGTGTGTGTGTGTGTGTGTGTGTGTGTGTGTGTGTGTGTGTGTGTGTGTGCGTGCTTGTGTTTTTGTGTTGATATGCGCGTATGCGAATGAGTTGTGGCAGTGGTGGATGTGCTGGTGTGTCGCTGCTTGCCCTCCGTGCGTCCCGCGCCCGCCGCCACCCGCGGGGGCGGCCTCGGGAGGCGGGCTCGCTCTGCGCGGTGACCAACCCCACGGTGAACTCGTACAAGCGGCTCGCCGACATCCCCTCCTCCACAGGCCAGGGGCTGGCCCTTCCCAAACATGCCAACAGTGTGCGCGCGCGCCGCGCCCCCCCTCTGCGGCGATGCGCGCCCCAAGGAAACTCATTGGCGGGCGTTTTCTGTTCATGCCGCTCGGATGATCACGACATGCCACAAGAGAGTTGCACGGGATGATCTCGTCGGACGCGCGCCTCCAAGGAGGACACATGCAGCCGAATATCTGATTGAGGAGCCTCCTCCCGAAAAGCTTGGCCAGCGTTTCTTGACCAGTGCGCGGGGAAGCTAGCCCAGTTTCTCGAGTACGCTTGCCCCTCCAGCGTCAACAACGAGAACTGGCCCAAGTGTGTTTCATAAGGGCCTTCCGGGAAGCTGGCCCACATCCCTTGACTGAGCACCTTCTCGATCAGATTTTCGGTTGTCGTATCAGTCATGCCCTTTTGCGTCCCAGCGGGGGGGCCCCAGACCCCCCCCCCGCCGCGACAAGAGCGCGAGACCGGCTTTACTCTTGACCGCTCTCGGTTTCCCAGGGGGGCGGCCCCGGGCCCTTTGGAGGACCGTCAGAAAACCGCTCGGGAGGGTGAGGAGGAGGGGGAGGGGGGGGGGGGGGAGGGGGGGGGAGGAGGGGGAGGAGGAGGAGAGGAGGAGGAGGGGGAGAGGAGGAGAGGAGGGAGGAGGACGAGGAGGAGGGAGAGGAGGAGGCTGACGAGGAGGAGGAGGAGGCCGAGGAGGAGGAGGAGGAGGACGAGGAATATCACGAATAACGCAACGATCTCCGATCCATGTCTGCGCAACGTCAAAAAGGAGGACGATGATGATGATGATGATGATGATGATGATGATGATGATGAGGAGGAGGAGGAGGAGGAGGAGGAGGAGGAGGAGGAGGAGGAGGAGGAGCAGGGTTGGAGGAGGAGGAGGAGGGAAAGGAGGAGGAGGTCCCCTGGAGGTCTAGAACCGGAGGTCTAGACCCCTTCCACGCGACCGGCTCTCTACTACGAGTCGTTTTCTGCTGGTCCCAGGGCCTGCTTCTCCAGGAGACAGACGACTGGCAAAGATCTCCCGTTTCAGCAACACGTTGTGGGACGGCGTGGCGGCTGTTCCTTTTTTTTTGTCTTCATGTGTTGCCCGACCTCATCCTCCTGTTGAGGCCACTGTCCTTCTCCTCCTCCTTCTCCCCCTGCTTCTCGATCCTAGCCACCAGCTTTAGGTTCGAAATCGAACGCCTAGCTAAACAAGCTGTCGCGAAGCAAGATGGATCGCCCCTCACGCTCACGCAGCAGACTGATGTATACAGTATGCAAGCTGCACGCGCGAACCTGTCCAACGAACACTCTCTGTTTTCTCCTCCGCCAAACGCGGCTCGGTCCCACAGGTGGTTGAAACCAGCAGCTCGAGTTTGAGTCTTGTGTCTTGTGAGGCATGGAGCCCCTCATGGCACTGGCGCTCCTCCCCCTGCTTCTCCCCCTCCTGCTCGTCACCCTGCCACTACTGCAACGGCGACGACGACAACGACGACGACGACGAGGACGAATGACGACGACGGCGAATGACGACGACGGCGAAAGACGACGACGACGACCACGACGACGACGACGACGACGACGACGACGACGACGACGGCGGCGACGACGACGCCGACGGCGACGACGGCGACGACGGCGACCACGGCGCCGCTGCTGCTCCTCCTACGTACTCCCCGACCTCCTCCTCCTCCTCCTCCTCCTCCTCCTCCTCCTCCTCCTCCTCGCCTCGCCTTGCCCCTTTCCCCTTCGCATCCCCCTCCCCTCCCTGCCCCTGCCGGCCCCCGCACCTCCTCGCCTCCGCATGGCCTCGCCGTCCGTCGTCCGCGATCACCTCCGCATGGCCGCCATGGCCCTGGCCGCCCTCGCCCGGGGTGGGCGCGGCCCTGCCCGCCGTGGGGACTGGACAGGCGCTCCCTCGCTCGCTCGCTCCTCCACCTCGGCTTTCTCGCCGCCCCCCCCGCCTCCCCCCCTCCTCCCCTCCTCCTCCTCCTCCTCCTCCTGCTCCTCCTCCTCCTCCTCCTCCTCCTCCCTCTTCCCTCCTCCTCCTCCTCCTCCTCCTCCTCCTCCTCCTCCTCCTGCTCCTCCTCCTCCCTCGTCCCTCCTCCTCCTCCTCCTCCTCCTCCTCAATGTCCTTGCCCTCCTCACCTCCTCACCCACTCCCTCGCAGGGAGCACCTGGGCGCCGAACCGGATTTCGTTCAGCGGCAACAACCGGACGCACATGGTGCGTGTCCCGGGCAGCGACCGCTTCGAGGCTCCCTTCTGCCAGGATGGGCAAGAGGAGGACGGGGGGGGCGGGGGGAACGGATGAATGGGGTGGGGATAGGGAGACAGGGAAGGGATAGGGAATGAGGGGGTTAGGGGGTTAGGGGGAACGAGGAGAATGCGCAGCAGCAGCAGGAGCTGCAGGAGGAAAAGCGCAGGAGGCGGGTGAGGGAAGGCGGCAGCGTGAAAAGGAGGGGGGAGGAGGGTCTGGCATGGGGACGCGGAGGAGTGGGAGAATGATCAGCAGCAGTAGCGGCAAGAAGGCGAGGGGAGGACAACGAGACGCGGCAGGATGAGCTGGAGTCGCAGAGATGGATGGGATGAGACCCCCAAGTTGTTTCCTCCGACGACTGCAACGACGACGACGACGACGACGACGACGACGCCGACGCCGACGCCGACGCCGACGCCGACGCCGACGCCGACGACGCCGACGCCGACGACGACGACGACGACGACGTCGACGACGACTGCCACGGCGACGACGATGACGACGACTTCCCATCTACCCTCACACATTCTGAGTACTACTCTCCTTTCTCCTCCGATCCGGTCCTTTCATGGCGCAACCTCTCCCGACCGATCATGTGATTCGAAAGAGCGCCTTCTGTGGTCGCTTGGAGGGTGGGGGATTGGAACCGGACCCCCCCCCTGGATGGAGGGGGCGGGGGGGTTCGAACCCTCCCCCCCTCCCTCCCCTACTTCTCCTCTCTCCCTCTCCTCGGGCCGGCGCCTGCGTCTGCGTCGGTGGTTTGTGGAGGTGGTGCTGGTGGTGGTGGTGGTGGCGGTGGTGGTGGTGGTTTGTTGTGGTGTGGTGGTTTGTGGTGGTGGTGGTGGGTTGTGCTGCTGGTAGTGGTGGTAGTTGTGGCGGTGGTTGTGGTGATGTGGTAGATTGGTGGTGGTGCTAGTGTTGGTTGGTTTTTGTGGTGGTGGTGGTGGTGGTGGTGGTGATGGTGAGTTGTGGTGGTGGTGGTTGTGGTGGTGGTGGCTGTGGTGGTGGTGGTGGTGGTTGTGTGGTGGGTTGGTGGTGGTGGTGGTGGTGGGTTGAGGCGGTGGTGGTGGTGGTAGTGGTGGTGGTGGTGGTAGTGGTGGTAATCGTCGCTGCGTCCACGCCGTCGCCAGCGCCAGTGCCGGCGCTGCTGGCCGCCGCCAGCGCCGGCGTCGGCGCCAGGGGGGGGCGTTGAACCCCCCCCCCTTGGGCTGCCTCTGGTTATCGTCGCTGCGTCCCCGCCGTCGGCGCTGCTGGCGGCCGCCAGCGCCGGCGCCGGCGCCGAACACTCCCCCCTTGGGAGGGGGGGGGGGGTCGTCGGGAGAAAGGGGGGGTTTGGGGGGGAGGGGAGCCCCCCTGGTTTTGATCGACGGCGCCGAGTGTTTGGGAGGGGGGCCCACCCCCCTTTTCGAAACGCGCTGCCGAATGTTCCCAAGGCAAGCGCTCGTGAAACGGGGCGCTCTCTCTCTCTCTCTCTCTCTCTCTCTCTCTCTCTCTCTCTCTCTCTCTCTCTCTCTCTCTCTCTCTCTCTCTCTCTCTCTCTCTGTGATTCACACAAACGGGAATCTCAATATTTCGTGTCACAGAGGAATCCCAATCTCAATCTCTCTGGGTGTTCCACAACGTTGCTCCCCTGCAGCCGTTGCCTCACTGTAGAATCGCAATGGGCTTCGGAACCGCTTACGTAATTCAAAATAGTGCGCCCGCTGCGTCGGTGGCCGCATTCGAAGATCGGTGCTTTGCTCCTGTCGTTCAATCTGGCGCTCTCGCCCAAGCGCGGGCCACGTTTCTAGATCCTCCCTTCCCCTCCTCCGCTTTCCGCTTTCCGCTGATCCTCCTGTTTCTCCACCTTCTCCTTCTCTTGTTCTTCCTGCTGCTAATCCTCTTCTTCCTCCGCCTTCCTCATCATTGTCCTTGCCCTCCTGCTCATTCGACGCTTCCTCTTCCTCCTCCAACGTAGAACGCACTCCTGTCCGATTGTTAATCACACGGTGAGGCAATTTGGAGGATCATTGTCCTTCAGTGACACCCCACGGACACAAGAGACGTCAGCGCATGGAGGGAACGGATGGCACGGCGGGCCGCGCGATCGCATGGGATGGCGGGTCACACGATCTCCAGTGTACACGTGACGGCGGGCGCTGCACGCTTCACGATCGGCTGGGTGCATGGAAGTATTGGCAGTGGCGGCTTGAGGGAGCTTCTCTTCCGCGGGTGCCGATGCGACGGCAGCGGCTTGCGAGCTCGGGCGTGGTCCCCCCGCGCGCGCCCCTCGAGAGCTGCGCGCGCGAAGGCTGCTCCCGCGAGGGGGCACCGGAAATTTCGGGTCCCGCCTCGGGTCTCCGGCGGCCGCCCGTGACGGCTGCCCGGGCATCCCTCGAGCGATCTATCTCATCGGGGCGCAGCGGCTGGAGCGCATCCCGAGGCGGGCAAGGCTCCAGGGAGTTGCAGGAGCGTGTGCGAGATTCGGTATCGTTTCACCGACCCCGATCCTCATCCCCATCCCCTTCGAGACCCCCACCAGATTACCCCCCCCCCCCAGTTGGGGATACGCCCCTCGAAACCCGAAGGGAACGGCCTACATCCCGATCTAGGGGGGGGGAAATCGGCCAGTGGGGCCCAGGCCACGCCCGTGGGGATAGGGATCGGTCAAACGATGCTCAGTGTCCGAAAACAGAGAAGGAAGATGAAGACGCTGACGATCACGGTGACGATGATGACGATGATGACGATGACGATAACGATGACGATGACGACGATGATGATGATGATGATGATGATGATGATGATGATGATGATGATGATGATGATGATCGTGATGATGATGCTGATGATGGTGATGATACTGATGATCATGATGTTGATGATGAAGTTGCTGATGCGGATGATGATTCTGATGATTGTTGCTGATGATGTTGATGATGATGATGATGATGATGATGATGATGATGATGATCATGCTGCTGAGGATGATGTTGGTGGTGGTGGTGTTGATGATGCTGCTGCTGCTACTGCAACTGCTGATTAGGATGATGCTGCCGATGATGATGCGAATTCGAATGATGATGATGCTGATGATGATGACGATGCTGATGCTGATGCTGATGCTGATGCTGATGCTGATGCTGCTGCTGATGATGATGATGATGATGATGATGATGATGATAATGATGAGCAGGCAGAGGAGGGGAGGAGGAGGAGGTGGCGGAGGAGGAGGAGGAGGAGCAGGCGGAGGAGAACGACTAGAACGACGCCGATGATGACGAACGACGCCTACGAGGACGACGTGTCCCCTTGGACTGTGTCCTCGTCCTCGTCGTTGTGCTCGTCGTCGTGCTCGTCGTCGTCCCCGTCCTCGTCCTCGTCCTCGTTTTCCGACTCGTCCTTGTAGTAGGTCGCTTTTCCACCTTCCTCTTTTGATGGGTTTAACTTTTGACGCTCCGCGCGGATTTCTTGGATCCGCGCTGGGCCCCCCCGGCGGCGCCTCCGGCGCCGCGCCTGGCGCGCCCCGCGCGCCAGGGAGGGGGGTCCAGCGCAGATCCAAGAAATCCGCGCAGAGCGCCAAAAGTTTATGTTTATGTTTTTTTCTTCTTCCATTGATCCTCGAAGGCCTGTGGCAATGCCCGCATCGACTGCATGGTGGCCCACTGAATTGCACGGTTTTGTCTCTCGTGCAGTTCCAGAGTTTGCCTGGGCTTTGCAGCTTGACGAGGAGGAGGTTTTGAGGCTCGACCTGAGAAGGGCTGAGCCTGTGTCTGCTCCGCGGAGAGGGTGTGTGTGTGTGGGGGGGCTTTTCCCCATGTAGTCAACAGCTGCAGCACACTCCTTCTCTCTCCTCCGGCATCCGTCATCCTCGTAGGGGGCGAAGAAAGATATAAAGTAAACTTTTCCGAGGTCGGGGACGCCTGCCCCCGGTCGACTGGAAAGTTTGTACCCCTACGTGGCACCGTGAGGGCATCCACTTTCCAGCCGCCCTGGGACAGGCGCCCCCGGCAGCGAAAAAGTGTGTGTGTGTGTGTTAAACCGTTCTTCGGCCGCAGATCCTCGTGCCTCCTGTCCTTCTTCTCTGTCCTTCTCCCCCTGTCCTTCTCGGTCCTCTTAACATCATCTCTTTCTCCTCCCACATGCTGGCCTCCAGTAGGCAACATTTATAATCCCCCCGCAACCCCGAGTTTCAGTATCCCTGTGGCATTAATATCGGCGGCACTAGGTTATGTTATACCGCTCTTCGGCCGCAGGTCCTCGTGCCTCCTCCCCCGTGCAGTTTTTGTTTTCGGAGCGTTGGCCTCTGGAGATCTGGGCCCTCTGCCTGGCATGCTGGCTGCGCCTGCCGGGCAGCTCTTGGACGGCCCAGGGTCTTTCGAGAAGGGCCCCCCCCGGAGTTAGAGAGATGCGGGCCCCTGCAGGCATGATCGCGTCGTAGCAAAAAATCAGGGCAGGAGGTTTCTGGCCATTTTCGGCCCCGCGGGGCCCTCGCCGGGCCCTGGGGACCGTCAAAAACTACCCGGGACGAAGAACTGGTCCCGGGGAAAGGGTCGCAACTTCCAGGGACGCCGTGCTGAAGAAAAAATCAGGACGTCGCATGTCTGGGGAGACACCGCCCCTCGTGACTTGCATGCACTGCAGTGGGGACCCATGCCAAGAGACACCCTGCTTGCCTCCAGGGTGCCCTGGGTGTCTTGGGTTTCGATGGCTTTGCGATGGCGAGCGTGACATTCCCATACTCAAAATCAATGGGCGTCCTGGGGTCTCAGGGGTGGGTTTCTCGCGGAAGGTTCCTTTTGGACTGGCTTCAAGTGTACCTTCACGACGAGAAAAGCTATCATCCCTCTTCCTCCTGCTTCATCTCGGTCGCCTCCTCCAACCTCCTCCTGTCGTTGTTCTGAGGACGGGAGGAGACATTGGTAATTATGAGCCTTCCCTCCTCCTCCCCCCCCTCCTCCTCCTCCCCCCCCTCCTCCTCTTCTCCTCCTCCTCCTCCTCCTTCTCCTCCTCCTCCTCCTCCTCCTCCTCCTCCTCCTCCTCCTCCTCCTCTGTCGTCCCACCCGCCGCCCTTCTCCGCCCCCGGGGAAGGTCCGGGTGGCGGACGGCGCCGTGAACCCGTACCTTCTGCCGGCCGTCCTCCTCGCCGCGGGCCTGTGGGGCCTCGACGGGAAGGCCCTCCGCCCAGGAGGAGGAGGAGGAGGAGGAGGAGGAGGAGGAGGAGGGAGGAGGAGGAGGAGGAGGAGGAGGAGGAGGATTTGGAGGAGAAGGAAAACGAAGACGAGGAGGAGGAAGAGCGGGAGGAAGAGCGGGAGGAGGAGCAGGAGGAGGAGGAAGCCATCCCCCTTCCCGCCGCCAACCTGTTTCGGGGGGCCCTGGAGCCCTGGAGGAGTGTGCGCCAGATCTTTCTCCGTCGCAAAATCATCGCGACGGAAGGCTTTTGTTCTTGTTACCGGCCTCCAGGAACCCTCGCCCTGCCCTGGTGCCGTCAAGAGACGGCCCTGGTTGCAAACATAGCCCCATCTTTTGGCCTCCTCCTCCCCACCCTCTTCCCTGTCTCGTCCTCCCCCTCCCACTCCTCCTTTTCCCCCCCTTCTCTCCCTCCTCCTCCCCCTCCTCCTCCCCTGCAATACTGGTTGCAAAACGGTTGCAAAAAAATGGGTCCAGAACTCTGGGGGTCCATGTTTTGAACAAGTCACGCCGCGGAGGTCTGAGCACTCGGACCTCGGAGAGGGACACCGCTCAGGCCAGGACAGGCCACGCCTCATCCGAATGAGGCCACAGGGTGGACAAGGCCAGGCATGGTGGCGGTGTATAGATACCTTCTGCGCGACACAGACCCTGGTGAGCTCTGTATGAACTATCTATCACTCCTGAGGGCACCCAGCTGCGTGCCAGGGGATGCAGTGGCGGATACCTTGGTTGTTGTTGCCCGCGCAGACGGTGGATGTCATTCCATCCGTTGCTATGCCGATCCACTCGCGCATCACTCCGCCCCTTCCAGGAAGCGCGCTCTTCCGAGAGATGGGCTTTCACTCGGGCTACGCCCCAGACGTTTTGCGAGCGCAGCGGGGCAACCGCAGATCTTAGCCCCCGAACGGCCTCCTCGCTGCGGCTGGACGCCGTGTAGGCAGAGACCCGGAGGCCGGTCGACCACTCGCCGGGAAGCCGGGCGCTACGGCGCACGTCAGGAGAGGACGCGCCCTCGGCTCACCTCGCCTTCGGCGGACGTCGGCGGAGGGCCAGCGGAAGCCTGCAGGAGCAAGAGGGCGGCGGGACCCGTCGGCGGAGGCCAGAATGAGACGCCAGCATTCTTGGGCTCAGGGGTTCCGGAGTCGACCACGGGGGGCGCGACGCTTCTTGGGGCAAAGCCAAGAGATCCAGCGCATCGGAAGAAACATCAGAACGTAGGTTTTTCGTTCTATTCGGCCTCTAGGGGCCCTCGCCAGGCCCTAGGACCGTCAAAAAACGACTCGGGATGAAAAGCCTGTCCCTGGGCATTGGTCGGGACTTCCTGGGAACGTCGGATCTTCGGGAACGGCGTCGGATCTCTGGGAACGTGCTTTCCCGAACGCTGGTGTGGGTGGGAGGGGGCGAAGGAGGATGCTCGAGGCCCCATGCTCATACTTTCTCTGATTCGTTCTCTTACTCGGAGGCCTCCACCTCCATCTTCTCCCCTCTCTTCTTGGTGCCCCTGCTTCTTCTCGGTGATCTTGAGAACGCGTGTCAGTCTAATGTGTCTGCGTGCGCGCGTGTTTCTTTTTGGAACCTTCCAGGCGGTGCGCTTGCACCCTTTTGCATGCTGCCTTTGCCACGTGCACTGGCTCCGGCCCTTCTTTTCCTGAGCACGCGCAAGCCACGTCCTGGCCATGTATACCGAGAAAAGGCTTGGTGACACTTGATCTGGGCGTGTCCCGCCCTAAAGCTCACTGCGTTGGACCAACTGGCCGCGACGGAAAAAGTATGTGTGTGTGCGTGCGTGCGTGTGTGCGTGTGTGTGCGTGTGTGTGTGTGTGCGTGTGTGTGTGTGTGTGTGTGTGTGTGTGCGTGTGTGCGTGTGTGTGCGTGTGTGTGTGCTTGTGTGTGTGTTTCGCCGCTCTGAGCGGGCCCGGCCTCCTCTCCCTCCCGGCCGCGCCGGGCCTCCCTCCCCCTCCCTCACGTGCACCGCGGCCTAACTCGCATCTGTATGCCCTACGCATGCTCTTTCCGCCATCGCAGTCACTCTGCCTAGCCGCCGACGAAAAAAATGTGTATGTGCGCGTGCGTGTGTTTACCCTGCTCAGCCACTCAGCCCCCCTGGTAGCACGCAGCCCGTGTCGGCCCTCTTTGCACCACCTGCCCTGTGATTGCGGGGTTTCGGTGAACAAGCTCTGTTTGCGTCGCAGCTTGGCAGAGGCAATCCGCACGCGCGCTGCGACGGGGGACAAGCACACGTCAGGATCGACCTTGGTTCGATCGATCCGGTCCGATATCGAGTTCACACGGCTCGACCCGGTTCCGATATTCTGACGATCCGATGCGGCCCGATTCTCGCACGGCGCTGATGTGCATTCCGGCGCAGCCGATCCGATTCGAGTTCGACTTCGTGCCGGTCCGGCCGATTCGCAACGATCGGGCAGCCGCGCACCAGAAATCTTATCGTTTCTGCCTATGGGGGGCCTTACCAGGCCCCAGGGCCGTCAAAAGCGGCTGAGGATGGAAAGCCATCCTTGGGAAAGGGGTCAAGACGTGAACGAACGCCAACGAACTGAAGAGTTGCGCAGAGGAGAAAGCATGCAGTCCAAAACCGGCTGAAAGTAAGAGGTTTTGAAAACAAGCTGCCCTTTTATCTTGGCGCTCAAGCCCCAATTACTCGATTTGATTGAGCCGAGCCCGGTAGGCGTCTTTCGTCTTTGCCTGGGAGGCCTCCCTGGTCAGAACGCACCCCGGGAGCGGTCCGGACGGTAGCGGCATCGGTGTCGCTTTGCTCATCCCCGTTGTCAGCAGCCGCCCGCCCCCGCTGGCGGCAGCAGCGGCAGTTCGAGAAGGGGCGGGAGGAAGCCTCCCAAGGGCCCAGCACCGTAACTCTGCGACCTTTTGCCAACCCTACCCCCTCCTGCGGATCCAGTCGACGCTGGGGTATCGGACACCACCGCTGGTTCTGCCCCCCCCCCCGCCCCCCCCCCGCCGATGTTTCAGAAATCTGATTTGCAGGGGTCGGATCTATATTACGAAGGCCTTACGGCCGATGCCGCCGACCCTGTAGGCAGCGACGACGAAGGCAATAGAGGTAGAGGAGTCCAAGATGCCCTCAGATGGCTCGAAGACGGCGCCAGATGCCTGCAAGGTCGTCCGAAGACAGCTCAAGAGGCCTCCTCCAGGGTTCGGGCACGGCTGCAGAGAGTGCCAAGATAGGCAAAGGGCGCCCTCTAGTGGCCCGAGAGGGTTCCAAGACGGCGTCAAGCGAGGTCCAAAAGCGCCCGCAGAAGCTGTCAAGAGTGCCGCCAGAGACTGCCAAGAGAGTCCAAAAAATGGCGAAAGGTCTCCAAGGAGCCTTAAGATAGGCTGAAAGGTCCCGCAGACGGCCCCGGAGGGCCAACGGAGCCCAATTCTGCCCCCCCCCCCCCCCGCCGATTTTTCAGAAATCTGATTTGCAGGGGTCGGATTTATATTTCATTGCCCATCCACCAGAGGCACTCTTCTGGCTCGATCGACATTCTGGGGGGCGGGCGTGTCTTCCTTCCGAGCGCTTTCTTCCTGCGTCTCTGATGTTCCTGGAGCCTCTCGGCTGCCCCTGGGTGAGGTGAGCCCCAAGAGGTTCTTCTTCGACCCGAGCGTGAACATGTACGCCATCCCCAAGGCTGCTGCTTCATGAGCCTCCCAAGCGGGGCCAGATCAGATGGGGCTGGAGGATCGCGCTGCATCGCCGATGGCGGCCCGATTCGGAGTCTGATTCTGATGTGTTCCATGCCCACGTCGACGGCGCCGGTGAATCGGCAATGCATCGGCTTCGCGGTGCGATGCCCTGACCCCATCAGTTCTGGCCCCACTTGGGAGGCCCCCGTGCATCCTTCCACGGCTGCTCCTCCTCCCCTCCTCCCTCCTCCCAGTGTATGCTTCTCCTCCTCCCGCCTCTCGTTACTGCTGCTGCGCAGCGCTCTGCAGCGGTCAAACATATCCGCGCCGCCGCCCGCGGCGCGCCGACGGGCGCGCCGCGGGCGGTTGCCGCGAGGGCGCTCTCGACCACCAGAGGACCCTCATTCCGTTTCGGAAGAGGGGAGGAGGAGGGAGGCCGCCTGTCCGTCCTACATCCCGGGGCTCGAAGACAGGAGGAGAGCAACACCACGTTCACGATCGTCTGCGCCACGTCTTTCGATTTGTCCACCTGGTGTGATTGGCCTTCACTGGCGGCGCACCACTGTGCGTGAATGCCAGACGGCTCGCGCTGGAGTGCGTCGCTCTCGTGCCTGACCCCATGCTGGTATGCCATCAGACGGCCTCATGGAGGGATGCACTGTCGGGCGCGAGTGCTGGGCAGCTCACGCCAGACTGCATCGTCCTTGCGAGCGGCCCCATGAGGGAGCATGCTCCCAGGCGAGTGAGTGTGAGTGGCGGCTCGCGCTGGAATTCTCGCCAGAGTGGGTCGTTCTGGTGAGCGGCCCCACGATGGAGCATGTTCCTGGACGGCCCCAGCAGTGGGGTGCACTGTCGGGCGCGGGTGCTTGGCGGCCCGCGCCAGAGTGCGGCGCATGTGTGCGCGGCTCTGTGATGGGGCCACGCGGAAGAAAAGAAGGAAGAGAAGGAGGAGGAGGCGGAGGAGGAGGAGGAGGAGGAGAAGGAGGAGGAAGAGAGAGGGGAGGAGGAGGAGGAGGAGGAGGATGAGGAGAGAGGAGGAGGAGGAGGGGGAGGAGGAGGAGGGGAGGAGGGAGGAGGATGAGGAGGAGGAGGAGGAGGGAGGAGAGGAGGAGGAGGAGGAGGAGGAGAGGGAGGAGGGGAGGAGGGGGAGGAGGAGGAGGAGGAGGAGGAGGAGGAGGAGGAGGAGGGGGAGGAGAGAGGAGGAGGAGGAGGAGGAGGAGGAGGAGGAGGAGGAGGAGGAGGAGGTGGCCATGGAGGACAGGGGCGCTGACGGAGACGGGCCCTGGAATTTTTTTTTGCGCGCCCCACGTGCTCGGGCGCCTCGGGGGCCCGCACCCGGGCCCTGCAGGGCAGTCGAAGAGCGACTCGGGATGGAGAGCTTGCCCGCGGGGTCTAAAAAGGGCCTCGCCTTCGAGGCTCGAGTGAGTTGACAGCCGGGATGCGCCAGGAAGGGCCCTGCCATCGAGGCTCGAGGGGTTGGCGTCTCCTTCTCGGCGTCGGGCGGCGGGAAGCCGGCGGAAGGCGGCGGAAGTGAAACGAGACCGCCTCCGCTGGGCGGAAACCGGCGCGATCAACAGTTGCGCTCCCAAGGTGAGGAGGCGGGGGAGAAGGCGGCCAGCGCAGCGGACACCGGACCGTCAGGGCGCGCCTGAGATCAGCGAGCTCCCCACCATGCCGCAGTGCCTGTTGGACGCGCTCCGTGCCATGGAGGCCGACGCGGACCTGACAGGCTCCGGCCTCGTCGTCGTTTGAAGACAGAAACTGTACCGATACCGCTATCTGTCCCGCGTCGCCACGGCCAGACTCGGCTCGAGATCATGGTCAGAACGCGCCCCTGGAGAGGTCCGGAGAGTAAACGTGGCCAGTTGTCGTCGTCGTCGTCGTCGTCGTCGTCGTCGTCGTCGGCATCGTCCTCGCCGTCGCCCTCGCCGTCGTCGGAGAAGGAGAAGGAGGATGAGGAGACGGGAGGAGGAGCACGAGGCTGGCAGGGGAAGTGCGCAATCTCTAGTCGAATCCAGGGGAGAAGCATGCACGTATTAGAGATGCTCCAACAGGTTCGAGAAGCAGGGAGAGCAAGCTGAAGAGCAGCAGCAGGAGCAGCCGCCGCGGAAGGATGAGGAAGGATCCTGAGAGATGGGGATGGGGAGCACGGGGGAAGGGATCAGACCCCACTCGTGCCATCTCCGGCCCGCCACATCCTCCCCCCGCCGCTTCCCCCCCCCCCTGCTCGTTGCCCCCTCACCGCACATGCCTGTCTGTCTGCGGCCCCCCTGGGGCGTGCCGGTCTCCACCCGGCGTGGCGAGAGCTCGCTTCTCCCCGTGCCTGCGGTGCACGCTGTGTGTGAGGGGGGGGGGGCCCGCCTGTTCTCCGCACCCTCCGGCCGCCTGAGGCCCCGCCCGCCCGCGCCCCGCCTCCCCAACTGTAGTGCTTCGCGCGCCCTTGCCTGGCTCTTAAGCGGCAGAGGCCCGCTCCCGACCCGCCGACCGAAAAAGGTGTGAGCGGGGGGGGGGCTTGGCATCGCTCGGACGTGTGCATTTTTCCTCACCGCCCACCAAACCACCCCAACCCAACCCGAAGGCCCAAATGGATCCTCGATTTCCAGTGGGGGGGGGGTTCGGGAAACATAGGAAAAACACGTGTGGAACCCTTATCCCCCCCCCCACCCGAAATTCGGGTCTTCGGGTTGGGTTGGGTTGGGGTGGTAGGTAGTCGCTTCCTTCGGCGAGGACCATCGAGGAGCATCCTTCATCCTTCGGCGAACAAGCCACGCGCGAAACCGAAACAAAAACACGGGGCATGGACGTCCGAGCGATGGCGAGGGGGGGGGGGGGCCCGCGAGGCGCCCCGGGAGGCGCCCGACGGGCGGCCGCGCGGCGCAGCCCCCGGCCGCCGATCCCTTTCTATATCAAGCGCGGGCGCCGGGCCACATCGGCGAGCAGCTGCCTTCTGCGGGGGGTTAAAATCGGGCCGGGCGAAAGGGGGGATTGGGAAAGGGGGGGTTACGAAATTTGCTGCATGCAGCTGGTTTCGGCCTCACCGAGGGGCCCATTCCTCGATACATGGCCCCTCCCGGCGCCGGGAGGCGCCGGGAAAATCAGCTACGTGAGCTGATTCTCAAACTCCCCCTTTACTATCCCCCCCTTTCGCCCGACCCGATAAAACGACGCGAAGATCGGGGCCAACTCGAAATCGGGATAACTCGAAATCTCTGAGAATGGGCGGGCTGGGAGGATGCACTGGGCGCCGCGGCCGCTCCAGAGCGTTCCGGAGCGCGCTGAGCGCGCTCCGGGACGCTCTGGAGCGGTTCATCCCGACCCTAGCCCCGTTTTAGGGGTGGCGCGCGCTTGCCGTCGACACGGGGGAGCCCACGAGGCAGCCCGGGCGGCGGCAGCGCGGCGCAGCCTCGGCGTGAGCCCCCCGGGGCGCGGGGCGCCCACGAGGCGCCCACGGCGCGGCGCGGGCGGCAACGCGGCGCAGCCTCGGCGGTAACCCTGAAGCGCGGGGTGCCCGTGGGGCGGTACGGACGGCAGCACGGTGCATCCTCGGCATAGCCTCCTGAAGAGTGTTTTTGCTAGCCTCTGGGGCATTCTGCGCGCTATGCCCCCTGCCCTCCCCCCCTCCCCCCCCAATATAACGGCACGCTCCCCCCTTCGGTGCGTCCCGGGCATTGCCGCAGTGCGTCCGGCACCACAGTCTGGCGGGGGGCGCTACGTTATGCCCCTTCCCGTCCCCGCCCCCTCCCCCCCTACGCCCGTTACGGTCGCGAATAGAAACATGCGCTCCTAATTTCGGCAGAGGGAAGCAATCACTGAGCCCTCCCCGCCCCCCCCCCAAGCTCAAAAGTCGGCACGCGCGGGGGGAGACTGCGGTCGAGGTGCAGCTCACCAGAGCCACCGCTAAAACAGGGCCAGGATCGGGATAAATCGCTCCAGAGCGTTCCGGAGCGCGCTCAGAGCGTTCCGGAACGCTCTGGAGCGGCCGCGGCGCCCAATGCATCCTCCCAACCCGCCGATTCTCAGAGATCCCGAGTTATCCCGATCCGATTTTGGCCCGATCTTCGCGTCGTCTTAACCGCCAACCTCGAAGCTTGGGGGGGCTGGGGGGAGGCGCGGACGGACGGAACGCGGCAGGGAGTGCTCCGAGGCCTGCCTGGGCGGCTGGAAAGTTTATACCCCTACGGTGCCACCGTAAGGGTATAAAACTTTCCAGCCGCCCTGGTGCAGGCGCCCCCGACGGCGAAAAAGCTTATTTTATGCCGTGGCTCGCCCGTTAAACCAGAGCCACCGCCAACCTCGGAGACTGGGGGGGAAGGGGGGAGGCGCGGACGGGCGGAGCGCGGCAGGGAGTGCTCCGAGGCCTGCCGCGAACGAACGGGGCGCCCAGGAGGCGGCCCCGACGTGGCGCAGCCTCGGCCCCCCCCCCCCTCCTTCCTCCTCCT